AATCTCACCTTTTCTTCAGCTTCTTGCCCTCCTCCTTGGAAGCTGGGAGGATCATGGCCAGATATGGTCCATCCACTTCAAAAAAGATGCTGTTCTCTGAGCGCGTGACATAGGTGAGAGAGGCTGGGTCCTGCAGTTCCTGGTACTGATCATTTGTGAAGCCTTCCTATGGGCACAGGCCCAGGAGAACAGCTTCACTCAACAGCTGGAGTAGTACCCCAGGAGATGCCCCTCAGACACACCCTGCCCAAAGGCATCACCAAGCACCCCTCTGAAAGCTACAGCACAATTTAGGACTCAAAAATCAAAACATCTGACCTGCCTGTTGAGAAGAAAAATGCTTTGGACACTAAAATTATATTATTTTGTCTTACAAAAGCTGGAGCAAGCAGAGGATGGGTTTTGGCCTTGCTCCATTCTGGACTCCCAGCCCTCACAGGTGAGCATGCACCAACCCTGGCCTCTTACACATCACGCTCTCTGCTGCAGGGATATTGGAGCCTCTCCCTCTGCTCACATGCTCTCTGCCCCAGAGCAGAGATGGAAGAGAGGCCCCCATCCCTCAATAATCCTCTACCTCCTTTTTCCCAGACTGTAGAGCTGGCCTGGATGGGCACAAGACTCACCTTCACCAGGATGTTCAGCATGGCACCAGGGTAGGAGATTGTCACCTTCGGCTTCTTGGCGTTGGTTGACTTGATGACAAAGTTCTCTGGGAAGCTGTTGGGGAGGACACACCAAATCCCATCGGTATCCAGTTCCAGAGGTCTCCTAAGGAAAGAAGGAAGGACGCTGTCATGAGAAGAGTGGATGACAGGTGAGGATCAGCTCTGCAGGCAGAGGCAGCCGGGTGCATCCGCTCTCCAGTCCCTCCTGCAAAGCAAACCTTCGTAATACAACAGAATAACCACAGCAGTGTTAGAAATCTGAATCTTCAACATTAACTGCTGAAAGCTCGGGTGTCTAACATGCTCCCACATCTGTCCCAGATGCAGACAGACCTTTCTTCCCTAGCTCAGCAGATACTCACCCGATCTGCTCAATCAGTTCCCTGGCCTGGGTGATGATACTCGCTCCTGTGAAACAGACGATGCCAGCCATTTCCATGGAGTACCAGCGAGCTCTGTAAGCAGAGGAGTCAAAGTGAAGAGCACGAAGCGCTCCCTCCCAAACCCAGCTACAGAAAGGGAAGGAGGACCTCCAGAGGAAGAAGGGCAAGAAACATATCAACACTGCCGCTCGGTAGATTGTTCTCCTTGCCCTGGTTATGATGCTTCAGAAAAGCTGGGAAGCCACTAACAGACAAGACTCCCAACACTTATGCCCAACACTTCATGTCTTGCAGGAGTCTCCAGGATGAGAAGTCATCGGTACAAGCAAGAGGAGACTGTTACAGGCAGCACCCACCTTCATCCTGGTGCTTCAGAAGAAGGTGAAGCAAGTGATAGCCTCCCTAGGACAATCCTGGTTTCCAAGGGTCCTCTCCGGACGACCCCAGCATCGCCCGGTGGGAGACTCACCCTTTCCGCATGACGTAGCCATAGAAAGAGTTGAGGATGCACTTGTGGGCCAGCTGCAGGGAGTCGTATAGGATCTCCATGTTCTTGCAGCGCTTCACTTCAGAGGCATCTCCTGTCTCCACTGCTGCAGACAGCTTCTTCTTCCACACCTGCAAGCCACAGGCAGAGTCAGAACGATCCCACACATCACTACTGGCGGTATCGAACTGGTTCCCCCTCAGTCCCAGAATAACATTACAACTCCAGAACAGCATCTTTACCAAATATCAGTAGCATGAGCTAAATATTCCTTTTTCTTTTGCAGCAGAGGAGGAGTTGGCCAGAGGCACTTTGACACATGGTAGGAGGGACCTGCAACACCAACCATAACTCTGGTGGTGCTGATCAGAATTCAGCCGGTGCCAGCAGTGCTGCATGCCTGCGTCAACTGTGCTGCACCACATGTGCACAGGCAAGAAGCAAATACACTGCCTGCAGCAATCAACGACGTCTGGCTAAACAGCAGAACTGCCTGTGCAGAAGAAGCCTCTCGGACAGCTCCTTGATCCATGGCAGAAGAGGCAGCTGGGAGTAACCGCAAAGCAACCGGCTCATTAATCAACTCCACCAGAGGCAGAGTCCCAGGGCCTCGTCATTGCCTTCAACATACTCCAAGAACAACGTGCCCTGGTCTCATCTGGCACAAACCTCAACCCTCAGAGAACTAAAACGTCCTCCTGGAATCAACCGTTCCTTAACCCGAGGTGGACACCTTCCTTCTCAGCTTGTCTCTTTTCTCCATGTAGAAGAATGCCCCAGACTGAACCTGGACAGATTGGATATATCAGAATAAGGACCGAGGATTTGCTAAATCCCGTAAAAACCGGAGATACAGCTTTATTTCTGACAGCACCACAGAGGCAGTAAATGCCATCTCAGCTGCCGTTGAAGATTTGGCAGCAAGAAGCCACAGCTGCCAGGAGCTCCACAATGTCCTTCTCAAATACAAAGACTGAACAGAGCCATCCTTTAGGGCTCGGGTTCTCAGTGAAAGATGAGAAGTCCCCAGCCTTGGCAAGACAAGTTAAACCAGAAGTTGAGCTCAGTACCTTGTGTAGCCCCTTGAACTCATAGCGGCGGTCCCTGAAAGCTCGCACCGTGTCCACATAGAAAGAGTTCTCTCGCTGGCAGATGGTGGTGACTCGTTCCTCCACCTTGGTGATGTGGATCTTCTTGTATGCCTTACGGCAGTAATCTAGTCACAGGAAGAAGCAGAGGGAGCTCCTCAGGTATGGGTACCCTGCTATGGACAGAGGGATGGGCACAGGATGGGCAGGGAGACATCTAAGCATCAGGCAGAGGTGAGCAGGGGGACAGTCCTGCTGCAAAGCGAGGAGAAGGAAAATACCAGCATGGAGAGAAGCAACACCTCATTATGGAGAATCAGGGACAGGTTGGGGAAATAAACTCATCCTGATGCACATACAGCCCATCCACAAGCCCAGGCTCTGTTCCCAGACAGCTGGATGGTTCTGCTGAACAGCATCACTCCAGGTGATGGGATAACGTTATGTTTCCCTTTCATTAACAGGCTTTAATGAGCAGCCTTCCAAAAAATGGAGCCATTCACGTTTCAGCTCAAATCCATGGCTCTCAACAGACAAAAGGAAAAACATTGACACAGGCACTGGTGCCTGGTCCCTCTTTGGGAAGCACACAGGAGCCTACTGGGATCCTGGAGAAAATCTGCCAAAGCATGGTCTGAGACCAGACACAGTCTGAGCCAAGCCCTCAGCCATAAGAGACATGATTAATGGTGAGCACCGCTCACAGTCTAGGTTGCAAAACACTGCTCCAGACCACGATGTTGATTTTTATTTTTACCTGCCAGCCGCTTTTTCTCGTACTTCGCCTGTTCTTCCCGGGAGAGCTCGTGGAAGGCGCGGGGTGGTCCCTCGGCGGACAGGGGAGGGAACTTCTCCGACTCCAGCTGCTGCTGGATGCGGTGATACTCACTGCGGCTGGCAGGCACTGTGGAGGAGGGTGGCTGGCAGTTTCCCAGGGGAGAAGCAGGAATTCGTCACCATCTCTGTGGGTTGGACTGCACGGTCCTTACTGTACTTACTGAACTCTCCTCTCCACTGCCAAGTCATCCGGCGCTGACAGTTGGCACCCGGCTTGTTGAAGTCGCAGGCAGCACACGTGGCCTCATCCACCATGGCTGAGGGCTGGACGCAAGTGAGAGACACACACAGGCATCAGAGGGGTCAGCTCTCCGAATGATGACTCATGCCAGAACAGGTGCCCGGTGGCAGAAGAGCATAGGTGTGAACATCAGAGATGGTACTCAGTGAGTTCTCCTTTCCAGAGCCATTCGGGAACACAAAACCCACAAAAATAATAGCTGTTTTTTTTGGGAAGAGTCCTAGCAAAAGTTGTAGCTCGGCCTCTGCAGACCTGGCATTTATGGCAGCTTGCCTGAACTTCACACCCAGCCTTATCTGATCCCCCCCTGCCCCGAGCAGAAAGTTCAGCCCTTGCTGTTGATGGGATTCAATCAGAGAGACCACCAAGGTGATCTGAAAGACAAATCAGGAGAGACAAGGTTGATGTTACCCACCTGCAACCTGTTGGTCAGAATGATATTGGGGTACATAGCTCCCACATCTAGATGGTAGATAAGGGGACACTCAATTCTGTTTGGAACATCTTTCAGGGAATTCAGCTTGACCTTGATTTCATCACAAACCTGCGGCGAGAGAAGTAGCAGACAGGAAGGAGCTAAGAGTCAAATACTTGTTGAATCCTGTCCTTTACTCCTGCACGGGGACACTTGCCAGTGACTCTGGAGAAGGATTTAAAGGTTCAAAGGAGCAGCATCAGAGGCTCCTTGACCACTGGTACTTTAAGTTTTCTTTTGGACCTCCAAGGTAGGCTTTACCTGTATGGGCATGTGGAAGGTGAGAGCAGCTACTTCTTAACGGTTACTTGATTGAGGACCTTTTCAGTGCAAATGAGTTAATGGAGACAACAGCAAAGACCAGAAGTCCCCAGTCACTGACTGATGATGCCCTCCAAGAAACTCCAGACTCAGCTTTCGAGAGGGGTGACTTGCACTTTGAAGCCAGTAAGAAGCAGGTAATAAGAGGAACGTGAGTATTTGGGATATCTGAGGGGTCCATCTTCTCACTAAATCCCTTCCCAGCTCTCTCAGAGCTTTGCTCCTGGTTGAACCTGCCAAGGGGAAGGCAGGAACTGCATCCTTCAGCGGGGGCAGAGACCCCGGATCTCCAGGCTGGGCTCCAGCGGCTGGACACAGAGGTCCTGGCCGAGGGTACGGGCAGCAGTGGCTGCTTATAACATCCCTCAACACTATCTACTCTGCAGGTGCCCATAGACGGGTTTCTTGGTCTCTCCCCATAAAGCATAAAATTAATCTAACAGGCATTTCAAAGCTGCAGCCCCAGTCTGGCAGCTCTGCTCTCCCTGCCAAGCCCAGCCGTGCTGCGGGCAACGTACCTCCTGGAAGTTGGTGACTTGATCCAATGGCAAACCCTCCTCCTCCTCGATGGCGTGCCGCAGTGTCTTTTCCACGCGCTGCACCAGGAAGTCGAAGGCAGCGGGATTCTGCAGGGGTGTGGGGATGGCACTGAGATCGTGGGCAGCCATCCCCGGCTGCAGGCTGGCAGCTCCTGCCTGGCTGCCTGTGTCCCTGCCTGACCTGGGGAGCTCTAAGCACGGCCCTGCAGCACAGGGCAGCGTATTAAGGCACAGGCAGGGTCTAGACCACTGACACCAGGTCAAAAAAAAAAAAAAAGAAAAAGGCAACGAAGGGAAAAGACAAGGGCAGCCAACAAGCAGCCGGTTGCATTTGTGCCTGGTAGCGCAGCACCTCTTCTGGTTGCATGCTGGCTGGTGCAAGGGCACAAAGATTCACACTTGGTCCAGATCCTTTTATACACCCAGTGCATGCTCCCCCATGATCGTTCACCAGATAACATCAAGCAAAATGTCCTGCACTAAGTGCGATGCATCACACGGTAGAGAGTGAAGCTGTCTCTGAAAACTTCATCACTCTCCCTTGCTGTCAACAAGGTCTGACGTGCTTCCAGTATGTGATACATATGACACTTGCTCTCCCAGTGAAGCATGCATGGCCACTTGCAGGCCTCCTCCCATCCCTTCCCAGCGCAGCTCCATGCAGCTTCAGGTACTCAAGGTCTCCTGAAGCATGACAAATACTGCCCAAGCCCAGCACGGACACACAGGAGACGTTAACACCAGTGGGGGTCATTCCTCACCACCATGCTCCGTGAGGACAGGGCTTGGCTGCGTGGCCCCTTACCATTTTGAAGCGGCAGGGGATGTCACTGCGGAAGACCCCAGATTCCAGCGCTTCCACGTGGCCTCCCACGTACGTCTCCGAGTCCAGCACATGGCCATCTTCTGTAAGTTTGTTGAATTCCTGCTCCTGCTTGTTGGGGAAGATGATGTTGGCGTGATAAGCCTGAACCATCAGCAGTGCCTCACACAGTGTCCCAGATCCTTTCCTTAAGACCTGCAGGAGAGACATCAAAGCTGGTTTTAAACTTAAAAACAGTAGATTTAGATTAGGTATAAGGAAGAAATTCTTTACTATGACGGTGGTGAGATGCTGGAACAGGTTGCCCAGAGAAGCTGCAGATGCCTCATCCTTGGAAGTGTTTATGATCAGCTTGGATGCAGCTTTCAGCAACTTGATTTAGCGAAAGAGGTCCCTGCCCACGGCAGCAGGGGTTGGACTAGATGATCTCTGAAGGTCCCTTCCAACCCAAACCCTCCCGTGATTCAGCAAGAAGTGCTGTACCAGCACTGGTGGGACAGGACTGGCCTTACAGCCACACCAGTGAGCCAGACATCTTCAGCTGGTGACACATGTGCAACTGTGCAGTGAGCAGTGCTGCAGCTCACAGCAAGGACGATGGGAGCAAGTGAGAAACCAACACCGACTCCTTTGTGTTTGCTAGAAGAGCAGGCTATGGACATTGTAAAGACCTCCAGACCTCTACTGCCATCATCTCCTGACACTACTCCACTGTCAAGTGCCTTTGTAAGCTAAACCAGATGAGGACAGACGGACATTTCCTACCTGCTTAGCACAGAGAGCTTCCTAACCATCCTCCCTAGAGCTGAAAACAGCCTTTAGGAGACCCAGCTTTGCATGACCATGGTTGTAAGTAAACTTATCCGAGCATGGAGCATCAGCCATACTTTCTTGCTCCAGCCCTGTACTGGCAACCCTCAGGTCTCTTGCTCTTAGGCACCTATCTCAAAACACCCCAGGACAGTGGAGAGAAAGGAGTAACCTCCAAATCCACCCTCTCTCCCTCCCTGCCACAGATGGGAAAGTGCCCAGGCAGTGCGAATCAGGTCCACGGCCAGAGTGTCCCTGCAGTGTGGGAGACCTGGCTTTTCGCCTGCCAAAGAAATTATCATTTCAGGAGTGCACCCACCTCATCAGGCTCCATGGGAATGATGGTGCACAAGGCAAAAATGAAAGGATGCACATACTTCATATACATGTAATAGGTAGCAACTGCGTCGGACACTGAATAGGTGGCCAGGGTCTGTTGGGGAATGATGAGAGGCAGATTAATCCCAATCACATGTGACAGAGCCACTCAATGACAATAAAGTGTCATTGCTTCCTGCTGGACACGCTCGTAGCAGCAGGAAGAAGGGAAAGATGTATTTCTCCATATCCTAGGTTGTAAAGAACAATCTGTTTGCTTCCATGGACGTCCTGCTCCAGCTCTAATTAGACAGCGATACATCAGCTTTGAATGAGAAGAAATGGGGAAGATGAGCTCATGGCACAGATGCCGCCCCATCTGGGAATCAGGAGGCTGCTCCAGGGTTTCAGCAGAAATCCCCTGCTCACGACACCTGGAGCACTAAGCCTATTTCTTGTCCCTCCAGCAAGTCATGGCTCTTTGTGGTGTTTCTGATTCAGCTGGTGCCTGCCACCTCACATTGATGTAAGTAAATACAGAAAATACACAGTGCAATGCCAGTGCTAGAACCACTTCAAAAAAAATCCTGTTCTTTCTCCCCACAAGCTCAAGTGCTTCTAAGGCATCGGCAATCTGGGCAGATATATTGAGTTAATTTCTCAAAACCCATTGCATTAAGCAAAAAACATTTTGTAACATTTTAACTTAAAGATTCAATCATATTACAGCTGCTCTAGGCTTGTTTTCCAATTGCTCAGAGGAATACAGGCGGCACAGGAAGGGAATACCTGAGGCTCCTCTGTAGCCATCCGGCACATCTCTTCAGGGTCCAGCTCCACTGGATCGTAACCCAGTTTTGCTTTAGCTGCTGCTTTCAGGTTGTGACTTCCCACTGGGAGGTAGCTGTCTCTCTTCACCCACCTGGACAGAACCACAAAAATACCAGTTTGTGCAGAGAAGCCAACCCTCTCCTTCAAAAAGGGGCCCAGGCTTGCAAGCGAGACCTCAGTTGCAAAGGAGGCCTCTCACCGAGGACAGCCGAGAGCCGAGCATCCAAGTGCAGTGCAGCAAGAGGCTGCCCAGTTTTAGATATCCTGCATCTCTACCAATGCCCTTAAATCCCAAACAGGACAAACCCCACTATCCATACCATCACCAGTGCTCAGCATTACCACCTTCCAACTCCCTCAGTGGCTTTCAGATAAACATTCAACCACTGGAGGAGACACCACCCAGACTGCAAGGACAGCCAGCCACTCTCCAAAGTCCAGACACTACTCCAATGGGGGAAACCCACATAAAACCCCCAACTTCTCTCTCTCCCACACATGCACAACGTGTTCTTTCCTCTTCTGGCTGTGCCAGGAGACTGTTGGGTTAGGATATGGTCCCTTCCTCGCCCCAATGGCCTGATCTTATCCCATCCTTTCTCCATTCCCCCAAACCAGACCTCAAACACCCGAGAGCAGCCACCATCAGGTTGCAGGGAGAGAGACAGCCCTTTACAGGGAAGGCTCGGCAGCTTCTGTGCTATGCAGAGTGCCAAGGGGAAGCAGCACAGTCAAATAAATTGACTATCACACCAATCTAGGGAGATGCAACACACTAAAGCTTCCAACAGAAGGAGGAGGACAGTATTCAAATACAGCTGTAGGTATTTTATACAAATTCAAGAGATGAAGACAGAGTTATATGGTGGAAGGGCAGCACTTGGTACCTTAGACAGTCCATGTGGATGCACTGGGATGCTTTGTACTCTCCCTGGCTGTCCTTCTGAAACCCAATTTCCTGATACATATTAACTCCATGAGCTGCCGCTCTTGCTTCCACAAAGGGCCTGGGGAAAGAGGCAACATGAAGAGAAGGAACAGAACATCCATTTCCCTTTATCTCTGACAGCTTCACAACTGCTTTGCTACAAACTACCTAGAGAAATCTTCTTGCGATTTATCTGTGATATTTGGCCACGGGGAAAGCTTCCTCCAGGACAGAATTGCAGCATAACCCAAGAGGCAAAGCTGCTTGCTCACGTCGTGCACCAGGAGGTGGAGGCACCATGGTCCCTCTCCCCTTGCCTCCTAAAGGCTTGCCTGCAACCTCCTCCCCCATATCCTCCAGGTCTCTTTTGACCCTCTCCCTGCTCTCCCAAGACTGGGCTTATCCATCTACCAACACTGCCACATTGACATGGGTTTAAAGCAGTTCAGCCAAGTGGGTGGGACTCTACGGAAGCTCATACTTCCAAGCCAACGACCACAGGATTTGGTGAGGTGTTCAGACTGGCCAGACAGTTGGCATGGATCACACACCATCACCAGTGTGTGAGCAATGGAAGGACACCGAGGCTGGTATCCGGCCCTGCCCCACAGCTCAGTTGACACCTTGCCAGCTTAGTTTTCACTCTTGACCTTACCAGTCAAAGAAGTCTCCATTGTACGTGACAATGATTGTGGGTTTGGTCTCCTGGACATGTTCAAACCACCTCTGGATTAAATGAGCCTAGGATGAAACAGAGCATGCATATATAAACTAACTTCATCTCCTCCAGAGAGGTGGTGGATACCATACCGTTTACACCCTCCTTCCCTTCTCCTCCCTACCTAGCCCAAACCTGACCTCTCTTACCCTTGTTACCAAGAAGTGAAAGCATGACCAGCTCTGCCGAACCCACCACGTTCCCCAGCGAGGCAGCCTACCAAACAATTAGCTCTCTTTGGCCAACAAGAGCCCGAGGCAGGTAAAACGTCTGCTGGGCACAACTGACTTACTTCATCTGGTTCATTAAAGACACAAAATGGACCCTCATACTCCGGCTTGGGAGTAAACTCGAAGTCTTCAATATCCTCAGAGACGATCTCCCTGTTTGTGATCAGGTAGCCCTAGGGAGGTGACAGGGAGGCAGTTAGGAGGACGTGGCTTGCAGACAACCTGAAAATGCTGTCCAAATCACGGGGCATTTTCCTCTTGAAAGCCAGAACTTCTGTGAAAGGGGAACAAGTGTTTGGGAGTCATCTGCTGAACCATCGCTGGCCATTGGCTAAGGAGCTGTCCCTGTGCTCTCTGGGTTAATACCGCTCCCTCACAGAAGCGCCAGCAACCTGAGCCGGGTACCACAAAACTAAATGTATTCTGCATCATTCAGACTTTGATTTAACTTCCCCAGCCACACATCAAGCAGCCAGCAGCAAGGCAAGCCTGGAGCGAGCTCGGTTGGAGGCAAAACGCTGGCCTGCTCCACAGCTTTGCTGCTGGAGCATGGAGGAAACCGCTCTGTTGTTCCTTACCTGCCCATCAATCATGTAGGAGATCATCATGATCTGGTCTGTCTCTGCATCAGGAAACTTCAAAGGGAGTTTGGTAGTTTCAATGTCAAAGGCGAGAACAACAGGATCCTGAGCAGGACCAAATACGTTACAAAATATTCTAAAGCTGACTTGTAGTTAAAGAGCAATACCTACTAAGCCCAGTGCTAGCCCAGCAAGCAAACCAGACCCTCCCCAGTTACCATTTTACTGCTTTATCAACCCAAAAATCACTACTCAAGCCCAGAAACAAAGCTTTCCCCCTGCGCACCATGGTGCGATACCAGCAGCGTGTCGGAAACCAGGTCCTCGGGGCGGACCCACCAGCCATGCCCCAGGACAGACTGACGCCTGCCAGACCACCGCTCACCGGTCGCTCCACGAGGTCGTCTCGGCGGGTGATTTCAGGGGGGTAGGTGCTGCCCCAGTATCGCACGTTGTACCAGTGAGCCTGTCGGGAGAGGGGGGTGGGCAATGCCTCACTGCGGGGCCAGCTGCTCGCATCAGTTCTGTTCGGCTGCCAGGGACCGAGCTGCGCACATTAAATGCAGCCCAGAAGAAAGGCTCAAATTGTGGCTGTGCATGAATTATTTAACTTTTCTGTGTGTCATTAACTAAGGAGAAGGCCCAGCAGCACAGGACTAAGCTTTACACACAAGCTCATCGTCACCAACAACTTTAACAGAGGTCCTGGAGAGAAAATGTTTCCACCCTGCTTGCACTTCAGGAGTACGGTAGTAGGAAAGAGAAGCTCTCGCAGCTTCCCTATTCCTTACTCACCACGTGGATCTTCAGGTCAATGGAGAGGCGAACGTGGTAGGGTACGTCGTACTCCCGCATATCCACAATGTTGTCCATCTGGTTGGCAACCTTTCTGGAAGACCCCTCCTCTTCCGTGCTCAGGCTGCCTCCGCTCAGAGCACTGCAAGGAGCAGAGCGAAGCAGCCACCTTACCCGAGTGCACATCTCCGCAGGCTGGGCTGCGAGGGACAGCCATAAGGCACTGGTGACACCCGGCAGCAGGAGTCAGTGACAGGAGAGAATGAGAAACGCTGCCCCACCACGCAACCAGCTTCCTCACCACGCAACCACCCTCCACTCGCAGAGGTGTCCCTGGGACAACAGCGTGCACAGTCCTGTTGCTCCCGTCTAAATTCACATTTTCTCATGTTTATGAGCTGTGCCTGCTCAGACGTACAGGCAGGCAACACCCACACGTGCCTGCATAACGAGCGGTTCTTATGTCATTGAAATTGTGTGGTAGCAAGTCTAAGAACAATGAGGCAACCCAGGAAGCACTTTGAACAGGGATGGTGCACCTTCCAGGTGAGCAGGGAGCACTCATCTCGCTTGGATCCTCTTCCTCAAGTTTCAACTGAAATCAGACTTCAGGGCGAGGAAACCAAAGTGAGGGGCGAATTTTTCATGTGGGTATTCTAGCTGACTTTAAAACCAGAGTTTCTTACATTTTTTTCTGTCTGCAACTGTGTTTCCAATCTTGTAAACAAGTGACTGGCTTTTTGTTCAGATAGAAAATATTTGTTGATTTTTTTTCCCTTTTAGCCACACCTAGAAGTAAGGTTGCCCAGTGCCTCTCAGTATCCTTTCTCAGGGAACAGGGAAGGTATTTGACCGGCAGGCAGAGGCACCACCACAGCACATCACATCCCAGAGGCTCTGAGGCCTTTGATGTGCAGTGCTGAGCTGAAAGAACCACCTCGTAGATGGGTGGCAGAGAGACATAGCTGGGCGCAGGACCACACCTCTCTGAGGACAGCCAAGTAATAATCGAGGGAGCCTGATTACTAACAGGAGGACAAACTGGCTGCCCTACGGAGAGCTCCCACCTTGACAGCATGGCCGTGTAGACATCGCTCGCCTGGTCTCGCTCTCTGTTTTTCCTCACAGCAGGAGAGATCTCCTTCCGCACCTTCACCAGGTCATCCACTGTGTTGAAGGACAGCTTGATGTAGTTCCTCTTCAGGCCCACCAAGTGGTTTGGCTGCAAAGCAGCAAGACAACGCCAGCTCAGGGGGGATGAAAACAGAGGGTGGCCACCATAAGAGAGGGTGTGGAAGGCAGCCTAGACTGATGCAGGTAGAAGAACTGGCCACAAAAGAAGTGCCAGTGGGTGGGAGAGTCAAGCACCAAGAAGAGACTCTGATGGGCACATGAAGGAGGAGTGCAAGAGTTGCACAGCAAGGGCCCAGCCAGCCCTTCTGCTTGTGCAGGCAGGACCACGAGCGGGATTCACCCAGGAAAGAGGAGGAAGAGCATGTCAAGCATGATCAGCAGCCCCTTCCCACAGCATGCCCTCCTCCTCCAATCGTTGTTCAATTCCTGCAATTAATTGCCTTGTACACACTGTGAGACAGCTGATGTGCTCAAGGAGAGGAATGTAATTACTGCAGACAAGCAATTAGCCATAACTAACCCAATTCTGATAGGCACCACGAGCAGCACTAGGAGACTGAAGTCAAGGGCAGCGTTTCCCTTCACTGCTCCGTCCCTTCCTACCTCACTAGAGCTGCACAAGGTCCAAAAAAGCCCCCACTACCCAAGCGCACAGTGGGCAGAGGAATACAGACCAGGTCCAAGTCTTCTTTAGGGACAGTTTCCAGCTTTGCAATCTTGCCTTGGAACTTCTTGGCGAGGAAGGACGACACTTCTAGCTCGCAGCCCTGCCGAGAGACCCAGGGGCTGAGCAGCACGGCTCTGTCCCTCGGGAGAAAACCGTACCAAAGCAGGATGCCCAGGAGGTCTCGAGCTCGCCAGGGACTTGCTGTCCCCTTCGCTGGGGACCTCAGCCCTCCCAGGGTCCCCTCCTCACCTTCTGGGTGGCAATGTAGAAGTAGGGCTTGTAGGGCAGGGCCACCTAGGAGAGAGCAGACAGGTGAGGGCGGCGGGTCCCCTCCCGGGACCCTGCGCCC